TAGACACCCTTCTGGTTCATCTTCTAGGGCCCGAGGGAGAGCTCGTCTGAAAGTACACTCCATCATGAAATCTATGAGGACTTGTGTTTTGATGGCGAGCCTCGGCTGGTACCATATGTCGAATTCGAAAAGCTTGATATCCCATTCGATCAAACACCCCAAGGTCTCGGCCTTGGCGAGGACTGCTCTGAGGGGCTGGTTTGTCAACACTGTGATGATATGAGCTTGGAAGTATGGCCTAAGCTTCTTGGATGAAACTAAGAGAGCAAAGGCCAGCTTCTCCACTTCGGGGTATCTAGTTTCGGCATCGCATAGTACCTTGCTGACATAGTATACCGGTTTCTGTGCTCCATCTTCTTTGATCAGGATCGACCTAACTACTTCGTCCCCGACTAGCAGGTACAAGTATAGAGTTTGTCCTAGGACTAAGAGGTCCAGGAGGGGAGGGGAGGCGAGGTACTCCTTGAGTTCATCGAAAGCTCGCTGACATTCCTCTGTCCACTAGAAATCTTTCAGTTTCTTGATGGCTTGGAAGAAGGGAAGACATCGGTCAACTGACTTTGACATGAAGCAGTTAAGTGCCGCCACTCGGCCAATGAGCTTTTGGGTTTCCTTCATCGACCGAGAAGGTGCCATGTTCAGTATGGCCTATATCTTCTCAAGGTTGGCCTCAATGCCTTGTTGAGTAACAATGAAGCCTCGAAACTTGCACGAAGTGACGTCGAATGCACACTTATTGGGGTTTAACTTCATATTAAACTTCCGCAAAGTGTCGAAGGTCTCGAATAGGTTCAAGGTGTGTGCTTCGGATTTCAGGCTCTTCACCACCATATCATCTACATAGACTTCAACGTTCCTCCCCATCTGATTCTTGAACACTTTATTAACAAGACACTGGTAGGTAGCTCCTATGTTTTTAAGCCCGAAGGGCATCACCTTGTAGTAGTATGTACCATGTTCGATGATGAAGCTAAGCATTTCATATCCTACAGTGGCATCCATGAAGCTAAGCATTTCATATCCTACAGTGGCATCGACAAAGTGGTCTATTCTTGGCAAAGAAAAACTGCCATTGGGGCAGGCTCGGTTAAGGTCTGTGAAATCAATACAGATTCGCCATTTCCCATTAGCTTTCTTAAACAAAACCACATTCGACAGCCAATTAGGATAGTACACCTCTCAGATGAATCCGACGTTGAGTAGCTTGTCAACTTCCTCTCCTATGGCCTTCCATCATTCCGGTGCAAAGTTCCTCTTCTTTTGCCGAATTGGCCTAGAGCTTGGGTCCACGTTCAGCCTGTGGGTAATGATCGAAGGTCAATTCTGGGCATGTCAACAACGGACCAAGCGAAGACGTCGGTGTTAGTTTTGAGGAAACTTACCAGTTCGGATAAGCTCTCTAGGGGAAGGTTGGACCCGACGCAAACTGTCTTCTCGGGCTCGTCCTCTTCCAGGGGAACCAAGACGAGGTCCTTGACGGGTTGGCCTCAGCTCGCTGGCTCCTCCTTGAGGTCAAGGTCCTCAAGTGGCAATGTTTCTTTGCTCTTTCCCTTCAGCACTGCCATATAGCACTGGCGGGCGACATGCTGATCCCCCCGAACAACTCCGATGCCATGCTCGGTTAGGAATTTGAGGGCGAGGTGGTAGGAGGACATGGCGGCTCGCAACGCGTGAAGCGTCGGCCTCCCCATGATTGCGTTGTAAGAGGAGCCAATCTTCACAACAAGGAACTCCGTCATCCTTGTTACCTATCGAGGATCTCTTCCTACCATGATTGGTAGGGTGATATTTCCTTCCAGTCTAACGACATTGTCGGAGAAGCCGACCAGTGGGACATTGACGGGCTGGAGGCACTCTGGCGCTATCTTCATCATTTCAAAAGCTTCATAGAAGAGTTTGTTTGCCAAGGAGCCACTATTGACGAGAATCCTCTTGACTAGGAAGTTTGCTACTACGGCCGAAATTACCAACGCATCGTCATGGGAGATTGTGATCCCATTGAGGTCTTCATTCGTAAAGGAGAGGTCTTCATGCTGCTTTGGCCTCTTGGGGGCTGGATCCTAGACGTTCAATTGCCCGACGTAGGCCTTGTAGGCCGACGATGATGACATCGATGACTTCGGCAACCTGCTGGTGCTGTTGCTGCTGCTGGGAGGATGAAGTGTCGGCTTCGTCCTTGACGAACTGCTTCAAATGCCCGCAGTGGATAAGGGACTCTATTTTGTTCTTCAACTCATAGTAGTTCTCGATGTCATCGCCGACGCCGTGGTGAAACTTGCAGTACTTTTTGGGGTTCCTCTTCATCTTCTTTGGCCACTTCACGAACTTCTCCTCACCAATTTGCATTAGGATTTGGGTCCGGGAGGAGTTGAGTGGCGTATATTGGCTGTAATCCGTGGTTGGGGCCAATGGCTACTTGTTATCTTTGCTGCTATCACTTCGGCGGTCTTCATTCTTTCTTTTCTTTCCCGAGGGCTTGCCATTGCGTTCGGTCTCTTGGCGACCGAGCACTTGAGGGCAGAGCCAGCTTGGAGTCCATTGATGGCGGTGTGCATTGAGACCATGGGGTCGAGATCCTTGACCTCGAGCTCTTCCTTTTGAAGCGGTCGATGTAAGATTGCAAGCTTTCGCCTGGTTTCTTCTTAATGGACAAGAGCGAGACGACGCTCTTCTAGCACTGTCTGCTATTGATGAAGCGGGCGAGGAACATGTTGGTGAACTGCTCCCACGAACTGATTGACCTTGGGGGGAGGCTGGAGAACCAGTGGCATGCTGCTCCCTTTAAGGTGGCCTAGAAAGTTCGGCACGCCAAGGCGTCAGAATACCCATAAGGTATCATAAGCGCTCTGAAACTTTTTAGGTGGTCGTCGTGGTCCGAGGAGCCATCGTACATCTCCAAAGTAGGAGCCTTAAAGTGTGTGGGGAGAGGCTCCAAAATGATTTATGGGGTGAATGCGTCCATACAGCTGACAGAATTGCCTTGACTAGTGGAGGCACCGACTCAACTCTCCTTGACTTGGTAGAGCTCGTCTTTGATGGTCCCGAGCTCGGCTCGCAACTCGGTAAGCCCTGGATCGGTGGGGGCATGAGCCCTACTTCTATCTTTACGGACTTGGTGGGTGTCAGCTCGGATTCCTTAGTACTCCGAGGCCGGGTCGTGCGCCCCTCTGCAGGTGCGACAATCATTCAAAACGTCCAGGAGATCCGAGACAGGAGTGGGAGTGTCGCAACGTCGGCTCTCTCCCCAGGTGTGAACTTCAGGGCGGCCGAGGTGTCTGCCATCGTCCCTGGGATTCTCCCTTCGGCGGTGGTGGTGCTGCTCCGAAGGCTGGTAACTATCTTCAGATCGTGTGGGCACTTCTTCTCTTCGGTTGGGAGGTTGGATATTCCTTTGAGGTGAACTGGGGGGTCGGCTATTGCCCGACTCCGATTGCTCGGCCAGCAGATTGTTGCCCTGGCTGAGGGCTGGGGTCACGACGCGCTCATGTCATCCCTGATCCTCTAACACCCCAATAGGGCAGTCACCTCAAGAGGGACCTCCTGCTCAGGGGTAGACTTATTCTACACGTTGAGTGAGGCAGTCCAAACGATCAAGGACTGCCTGAAACTGCTAGTAGGTGACCAGGTTCTGGTTATTCCTGGTTCTTCGCACCATGACTTTTGAACTTAGGAGGACTTGGAGACTTTTCTTCTTATGGGTTTTAAGTAATCGTCTTAGCAACGGTTCCCACAGACGACGCCAATTGTTGTTACTCGGATTAGCCTAGGGCAACGGGGTAAATTCAGTCCCAAGTTCTGAAGGCAGGCCAAAGGCTTTGGGGATTCTGAAGAGGGCAAGCCGAGGCCAAGGACTGTAGGCCAAGGCGAGGTGCTCCCTTCTTAGTACGGTAGAAGCCGAGGACTGCGGGTCGTCAACTTAGTAACGAAATTCCCAGAGATCCGAGGTACTGCAAAACAAGAGATGTCAGAGGCCTCGAGTGAAGACCCAAGGTGGAGACTCCGACGCTCAGTTAGTACGAGGTGTAAGGTGGGGGGGGGAGGTGTAGACGAGGTCTCGATGGTGGTCCTTGGATGCACTGGGTTCCTAGGAGTAAATGATAGTGAAGCGAAGTAAGTGCAAGAAATTAATTCAAGGCACTGGAAGTAAATGAGGGAACTATACCAAAACTCTGAGACTTAGATCCCCTATAAAGAGAGAGTTACCTCATATTTATACTTGAACGAATTGGAAGTAGGTGGAGATGAACGCACTAGATGAGAGCCTTACGGAGACAAGTAACAAGTCCTTGCGAGTATGCCTAATTGCTCCACGGTTGACTCCATACGAAGGCAGCGGGGCTTCCCCCGTGGCTGGCGCTGTCGGGCATTAGTGGGCTGGGCCTCCCAGGCTGTAATGGGCTGGTCCTGGCTAGCCCACATCAAAAACCAAAATCGAAACCAAGCACTCAAGAAACCTTCGGCGGTCGTCTCTCGTCTGAACTCTGAAGCAACTGAAATCGAAACCAGACTGGCAGACACTCAAGAAACCTTCGGCGGTCGTCTCTGTCTGAACTTTGAAGCAACTAAAATCGAAACCAGACACTCAAGAAACCTTTAGCGGTTGTCTCTCGTCTGAACTCTGAAGCAACTAAAATCGAAACCAGACACTC